TTTATTACTAGCACGAAGATAGGAACAAGAAAGTGGCACCTAGGCCAGGAGGGCTAGAAGGAACAAAAACAAAGAAAGAAAACAAGCAAGAAAGAAAGAAAAAAGAAGAAAAAAAAGAAAAAAAAAGAAAAACACGTTTGCTTTTATTAGTACTATTTCCTATCCCCTAAGAGAGCTCGCTGGAAGGCAGCTTAGCCGCCCTACATCTCTCCCTATTACCAAACTGCTCTTTAGCACCAGGCATCTAGAAAGCTAGTAATAGCTTAGCTAGATAAAGGCCGAAGCACCCTAGCTACACTTTATAGCAGAAACCTCCAAATTGTAAATAAAAACTAGATAGAACGGCCTACGGCCAAAGTCTTACATAGCCAACGGCTGATACAGGACTATAATGGAATATATATATACAGATGGCAGGTGATGCCAAGGCGCTATACCCGTTTGAGTGGATCATGTTAATGTAAAGTGACTTTGGGGTTGGAGAATGATGAGTCTCTATCTTTATAACAGAAATAAGAAATGAGATTGTAACAAGAGCTGTTTCCAATGTGTGTCGCGATTGTTCTACGCTTCGTATAGTATTGGTCTTCTTCAGGCCCTTTGCATTGCTATGGCCTCTAAGTTCCTCTTCAGGCTGGAAACCTCAAATACATGCCAATGTAAATGAAGAAATTTATTTTTCATTCACATACGTTCATAGGACTCAGGGAGCAAGAAAACCCGTTCGATCTTTCATATTTAAGCTGATTACCGGCGGATTAGTAGTCAGGTGGGTGACCACTGGCGAATCCCCGCTGACGTATGTTTTTGTCTTCATCTAGTTTTAATTTTTTTGGACTGAGTACATGTCACGTGTCGACTTCTTGGCGTATCTAGTAATCTTACAATAGCTCTGCTACCTTTTTCGATATTATATACTACGTTGCTATTAGTAAAAGGCTGCAGAAAGTGTCACAGTATTCGCCATCTGTAGACTGTCACCGAAGTCAAATCGCCAGCATGTATTAATCAAGATGTATCTTGACCAAGCCAAATTCTGACAGTGCCTGCTGCATGTCGACAATTAGGCCACCACCCCATGGTAGTACGGCTGCCAATTAGCGGCAACAATTCCGCTGCTAGTATGCAGTCTGACACCTGTCTTCTAGAAGGTAAGAGCACGAACAGCAAAATACCTTTCTAAACAACAAAAATCATCGCAGTCCTTTACTAAACCCGCATCATCATAATCTGGCTTCTTATCCTCAACATCCAATCATGGCGCCAAACCTCCACCTCTACCACACCCCAGGCTCCTGCTCCCTGGCCTCGCACATCGCTCTAAACAGTGCTTTACTTTCTTTCAACGCAACAGATCTCCATGCAACGCGGGGCTTCCCAGCATCGCAGCTACATCTCAACCCCAAAGGCCGGGTCCCGATTCTGGAAATCGATGGTGAACTCATCACCGAAACACCGGCTATCCTTGCCACCATCTCTTCTTTGGCTCCAGAGAAGAATTTACTTGGAAAGGGAGCGATGGATCAGGCAAGAGCGTATGAGTGGATGGCGTGGTTATCGGGGACAATGCATGGGCAGGCTTTTGGATGCTTGTTCCGACCTGCGCGCTTTATCAAAGATGAAGCGATGCATGAAGCTCTGCGCGAATCAGGTAGGAACCAGGTCAAGGAGTGCTTTGAATACGTCGAGAAGAAGTTGGAGGCCAAAAACTGGGCTGTCGGGGATGCCTTTACCGTGGTCGATGCGTATCTATTGGTATTTTATAGATGGGGTAATATGTTGAAGATGGAGATGCGGGACAAGTATCCAAACTATACCAGGCTCGTGGATGCTGTCATAGAAAGGGAAGATGTGACAAGGACCATTGTGAGCGAAGGCATAAGCGCGCTGAACGAGTGAGCAGGTCAAGTGAGGGTGTCAAGATGGTGTGGAGGTGGCACCAAGAATGTGATGACGTGCACACAAAGTTTATTTCTCGGAGTAAGATGTGAAATGCTTTGTTTGAAATTACCGTCTATCTAATTGGAAAAGTACATGAAAAATAACCACTACATGAAACGAGTGCTCCCTTAGACATGTGTTTAGTCATAAACGCAATACAGCATGGTGATCAGTAAAAGTCCAACGAGAAGTCATTCCATTATCGAGGGCACGGTACTTTATCGAATCCTCACAATTCCTCATCGTCATCATCACTGAGTGTAAATTCGCTGTCATAGATGGCATCAGAGTCTGCATTAGACCCTGATCCGACGTACATCTCATCTGGATCGTACATGCTGTGCACAAAACGGTTGATCGCGTTGCGACTTGAAGTCTTTGAAATGTTGACAGGCTCGACATCAAACTTTGCGTGACCCGGCAGAATGAGCCCTTCAGCCTGGAAGAGTGGTTAGTGGGCTAGATTCCAGCATTCCTTAACGACTATACATACCTCATCCAAGACTTCACATACATCCCATTTCCAATCTGGGTCATCCAGCAACGGGTCATTGGACGCTCCCAAGGCGTGCGTAATGTCACAAGAAACGAGTTGATGACAAGGAGGTCCCTCAGCATCCTTCCAGTGCCCACGATAGGTCCAGGTCACTGTGAGAGAGCAGCCATCCTGCGTCAAGCTTTTCAACACCGACTGGATTGCTTCGATCGCTTTCTCTAGAACATTCAAACGAATATAGCGTTGGTAAATAATAACGTGAAGCTTGAAGCCCTTCTTGTTCTTGATATCGAGTAAGCTGCAGAAGTCTTCCCACAATAACTCACTGTAAACTAGCTCTGTTTCGCTCAAGGAGTGTCTACATTTGGAAGAAAGCTGGTGTTTCGGTGGTGGAGTACGGTAGCGATCGATGTTGCAGTGAACAGTCAGATTTCGGATTAGTTCCATCGTAGGGAGGCTGAGGTGAAAAGGGTCGTCTTTCAGGACTGACTCAATGCGACTAGATTGACATTGTAAGAGATTTTCTTCATTGAGAGACTTGTAGAATGATACGCCAATCTCGTGTGCAGTAAGGACGCCGACGTAGTCTGGGGACATATAGTGTGGGAGAGCAGACTGGTCAAACAACTGACTGAGATTGTCATGTTCCGCACGAAACATGAATTGAGCAATGTCTAGCAGGCATGGAAACATTGCAATCGTGTCTGGTGAACAGTAGAGACATGTGAAAGTGTAGTGTTGCTTGACATGCTGTCGCGCCATCAAATGGGGGGATGTTCTGTCGGGATCATAGTGCCATAGGTGCTGGTATATCATGTCTCGGACCTCTCGTGGCAAACGATCTTGCATTTGGGCTGCAATGTTTTGATTCCAGGTCTTGCAGTACGGTATGATAGTGCGATTGACGATGGTATTGTTCAGCCAATCGCTATACTGCCCATGCAGCATCAAGCGCTTCGTGGCGAGCCATCGCTTCTGCTGTTCTACTCGTTCTTCTTCATGTTTGATGTCTTTTTCGCTATTAGGGATTAGCTAGATCGTTCTCGTGCATCGGATATTTAAAGACTATCAGATACGCTTGTGAGAACCGGGCATTCCTGTGCTTTGCCCTAGATGTGAGTCAGTATTGACGTGTAGTGATGTATTAGTGGTATTACCGAAGCAACTTCTCTCGTGCTTTATTCAGCTCATTCTGTGCGAGAGCCTCGGGTGGGTTCGTCATATTTGTAGTTGCAGATTGCGTTGGTGCACGCCAGAATGGACGAAGAGAAGCTTAAGTCAGTGGAGAGAAAGTGAGAAGGTTTGCTCTGTGTTTCCAGTCCCAGGACAGGGTTAGGAGGGGCACCTACCTCCAATACAAAAGCTAAACTAGATTCGGCATGGGGCTTTCCCCACGGCGCCAGAGTGTCGTGTAGTCATGTGATCAGAGTGTATTAGGGAGCGATGTAGATTCTACCCGTCGATGCGATTGAGTAACCAAAATGCCCTGCCCCTATCTCTATCTATTTTGTGCAAATGTGTGGATATCAGTGTTACCACAATACATAGTTATTGCATCATCATTTTATACCTTTTAGCACCACAAGCTAATTTGGAGTAACAGATCCCGAACATCAACCCGATTTGGAGAAGAAGTGTGGCAAAATGTACTGTAAGCATCATATTCTTCTTAGGACCAACCATAATGAAGAACCACAACGTTAATTTCTTAGCGAACTGAATCACACGGAAAGGTAATATAAACCGATGGAAAAGACAGGCGCCATAGTAGTAATTTTTGGATTATCATTAATGTCTATCATGATGTCTTTGATTTTGTGTTGGAGACTGGATGACAGGGTCAAGATCAGTCCTTCATACGTAGCTATTACTCATAGCTGTCATAGCGCAATGAGCGCTTAAGAGGGAGGTGAGGTGGGCTCAGGGACACCAGGAGGGCAGTGCCTAATCGCTCAATTAGCTTGACAATAATGAACGGGTAGCGAAGAAGTGACTTACCAGTGGTCGTTGTGAGGCTCACAGGCCTCGGCAGGTGCAGCAGCAGCCTCACTGGCGGTTGCAGAGGCTGCAGCAGAGGTGGCAGATGGAGTGGCAGAAGAGGTGGCGGCTGGAGACTCCTCAGGCGCAGCGTAACGACCAGGGCAACCCACACCTGGAACAGCAATGTCATAAGCATAGGCCTCAAGAGCAAAGTACTGAATGGTGTCGCTATCCCTAGCGGAGTACGTGGCGTTGTTCTTAGCAAGGTTGATGACGCTAGGGTACTTCTCCTCTTCTTCATTAGTGTAGTGCTCTACGACGCCCTCACCAACGGGAGGAAGATGGAGAAGGCGGTGGATAAGATCTGAAGCCCAAAAGTAGTTGGTGGCACCGTTGGCAACATTGTAGCCATACATGCACATGGACTCAAGAGGCTTGCGGAGCTCGTAGGACAGGTCGCAAATGACAGTCTCTGAAGATGCGTTAGATCCTCGCCAGTGGCCCGCCCATCCTATTTCCTGTTAGTCAACAATATCCCTTCAAGTTTGGGACTGTGTTTATGTACCATCCTGGTGGCAGTTTCCGTCAATGTCATCGCATCGGAAGAGAACACCGGCTTTGTCGCCGTCGGCGATCTTGGTGTACCAGCCAATAGGTTCACCAGTAGGAGAGTCACCAAAGTACTTGGTGTAAATATGGGACTCGTTGCCCCAACGGAGGATGTGGTCGCGAGCATGGCGGGCGAGAATCACTGCCTCATTGAGCCCTTTCTGGAGCATCGTGTGCTGAGTAGCATTACAGGATGCATGGATAGGGAAACTGTCGACGGCACCCGCATTCCATGTCGAATCACCGACAGAGATTTGAGCGTTTTCGCTGGTAGTGATTGTGAAGGTATCACGTGGGGCGATCGGTCCGGCCACGACGGCGGAGGCTCCAAGGAGGAGGAGGGCAGAGACGCGAGCAGCCATTGTGAAGTTGGTTTGAGGGACAGTAGCCAAGTCTGGGATCGGACGTGAAATTGGTCTTGAAGTCCCGAGGCGCTGGATGCCGGATACTGGACGAGGGTAGTTGGAGACAAGCTGCATGCTCTTTATATATCCCACGAGGTTGGCCTATTGTCAGTCGGCACTGTTCGTCTCGGTACTCAAATTCCGCGCTCATATTGAACAGAGCCGCCGAGGCTTGAAGAAAAAAAACGCCTCCACCTGACAGCTGCAGATACACCCTGGCCTAATGCCCATTCAGAGAAGCCGATACTACACAACACGGGCCTGAAGAAGCATCCAGTGCTTGGTCTGACGTACATTCTGCGCGATGGAGCTTGGCTTCCAGCCGCGTGGGGTCTGGAATACATGTTTCTCCGCTCAAGCGCGATTTTAGGGTTGGTTAAGTACCATGATGGGCGCCCAATGAAGAGAAATTCTCGCTCCCAAGATACAAGCTGTCGGGATTCATTGCTATGTTGAGGAAAGCCGAACATGATACGTTGTGACATCCTTGTATCACTATAGAGACCTCCCAGACAGCATGTACTATCGAGTGACATACTTTCATAGGGCTGAAGATGTTGAGATAGTCATATGGATTTCCAATAGGGGCTAATCAGTGGTGCCAAGCTAGACTTACTATCATATTTTTGACCTGGTCCAGAGCTGAACTACTGAAATCGACAAGATTCGAGAGACGAAGACGTATTCTGAATATGTTCAGTAACGGAACTGTTGTCCAGATGTGCGTGTAGACTCACTACTGCTCCGGTAGTAAAAGCCGCACCACCACCCACTCATCCCACTATTCATGCACCCAGCATACATCGCCAAGCTGTCCGCCACCCTACTTGTGGCCTTGTTCCCGCCCACGTACCGAAGACGCTTGTCGGATTTGGGTCATACAGAGAACAAGCGCAGGCCATGATTCGATGTGTTTCCGGACGTAAACAAATGCCAAGGGCAATCAATCCAACACGGTGCTCAATGCCAAGCGCATCCATGGCGCCTCCCGTCCAAATAGATGGAACCCGGAAAGTTCTTCGTAGGGTTCTGGAGGCTCTGTACCTTCGAACCGTGGTACTTTTCTTCCGCTCCGCTTATTCCACCGAGGCTTGATCACACGGTATATCAAGACGGATGCGCTGACCACTCTTGTCGTACACACCTCGAGATCAGTCGGCTTGCTTACCTGGCATATTCACTACTGCTTGACTATGTCTTTGACGATGCGCTCTGTCCTCTCGACAGCGGTCCTGCTTCTTGCAGGATCTGCTGCTGCCCAAACCCTGACCCCAACCCCAACCAGCACAAGCTCTGTGCCCCGCCGGACTACCTCTGCGCCTACCACAGCGTCGTCTCCAACATTTACTGCCGTATCAGATTGCCATCCACACAAAACCGTGCTGTAGGTACCCCATTTCCGAGTTCGGGTGAGATGTTTTGAACTAATATGAGACAGATGGTGCATGGTTGGTGAAGAAGAGTACCAGGTATCTGGGCCTACAGCCACTGAAGAATTTCAATCACAGTACACAGACTGTCATTCGCATTCCTCTGGAGTGTATGTATGATTTCCACTCTGTAGAGCCAACGCTAATTTATCCAGATACTGTGTCGACAACAGGGGCGAAGATGTAAAGATCCTTGTCGATGGCGCAGGGGAAGGGTCGCACAGCACAGAAGGAGACTCCCATGGCCATGGAGAGGAGCCTGCAGCTGGCTCAGCTAGCGAGTCTGGAAACAGTGGCCAGCACTGCCACGAGCACGCTGGTATCCCCCACTGTGTTGGTGGAAGCTCTGGACCAGTGTGCGAAGCCCCTGATCGTGACTACAACATTGGTCTTCGAGTCGGTCTTCTTTTCGTCATCCTCGTCACCAGCGGCATCGGAGTTTTTACTCCGGTTCTGACTAGGAAGTTCAACCTCGTCAGCGCTGACAACATCATCTTCGTTGTCTTGAAGCAGTTCGGTACCGGCATCGTCATTTCGACTGCCTTTATCCATCTCTTCACCCACGCTGAACTCATGTTCTCAAACGAATGTCTTGGCAGACTAGAATATGAGGGTACTACGGCCGCAATCTTCATGGCTGGTTTGTTCCTTTCCTTTTTGGTGGACTATCTCGGTGCTCGTTTTGTACAATGGCGCCAAAGCAAGCATTCGAGCAGTGGCACAGAGGTTCCAGCGGTTGCAGGTGACAACAAGTCTGGCGAGGTCGCCTCTACTCCTAGCTCGGATCAAGGGTCTGACCACGGCCACGCCGGACACGCACATGGACCCATGCGTATTGCTACCCCCATGGAACAGAAAATTAACGTTATAAACCTTGAGGCTGGTATCATCTTCCACTCTATCCGTAAGTCTATGCCGATACGCATAACGCCATCCAACTAATGCGTGTCTTAGTCATTGGTATCACGCTCGTTGTAGCTAGTGATGGCTTCTTCATCACCCTCTTCATTGTCATTCTCTTCCACCAGATGTTCGAAGGCATTGCTCTCGGAACTTGCATTGCTGATCTTCCAAAAGCTGCAGCGGGAACATTACAAAAGCTCATCATGGCTGGTACTTTTGCACTCATCACACCCATTGGCATGGCCATTGGTATTGGTGTGCTCGACCACTTCAATGGAAGTGACCCCAGCACTCTCGTTGCTATCGGAACCCTCGATGCTCTTTCGGCTGGTATCCTTGCTTGGGTTGGTCTCGTAGAGATGTTGGCGCGAGACTGGATGAGCGGTAAACTGATGGACGCGGGTCTAATAAGGACTCTGTCCGCGATGTTTGCCCTGGTTGCCGGACTCATTCTCATGAGTGTTCTTGGCAAGTGGGCGTAAGGATAGCACTAAGGGTGCTGCATTGTACGATGCTGAAGTCATGACTTTACGTAACTGCATTGGAAGACTCATTTAGGATCTTTTTTTATATGGATTGTGATATGGCTACACTGACCTTTTATTTATACCTTCACTGCTTCAGAGCGGATGGATAATGAATCTACTCCAAAATTGTCCCCTTCATACTTTGCTTTCCAAAACTATCCCAGACCTCAGCATTCCATTCTCCTTGCCCTGCTGTATTGTGGTGCTCGGTCGTGTTGTTTTTCAACAGTATGCGATATGGCTCTTCAACATACAATGGGCTCATAGCACGGTACGCTATAGATTTTGGTACTATTTCTGTGTCACCATTCTTGCTGGCATCCCTCCAAAAGTCTAACATATTGATCAAGTTCAGTGGTCCATGCACAACAGAGTCGCGGTGTCCCTCAACCTCCCTACACCATTCAGGCAAATAATGTATCTTGTGTCCGTTGAATGTCAAGGCTGAAAATCGGAACAATGATGTCCGTGTCTGGCGGAAATCCCGTTGATACTGGCCCTTTGGCAATGGCACGTCTTCCGGTTTTGGTGGTGCTTTTATCGGATTCTCAGGCGTGAGTTCGCGTTGAAATACCCAATTGCGACGATCCGTCAATGCAATGCCGTGGTCGTTTGAAAATGTCTTTTCTACTCCCACTACCAGCATTTCTCCACCATTTTTCAATTTCTTGGGTTCCGCGCTAAGAAGCTTGGTAGTCTCCTCAACTTCCTGTCCTACTCTCAGCAGCGCGTTGTGGTCTTTTGCCCATTGCAGCTCGCCTCCTGCCCACATTCGTCTTGTGAATGGGTGGAGTGGATTGATAGTGCGATCCGTGCCGTCTAAGCCCAATTCGGATTCGATAATGGAAGGCGTGAAGTAGACGAGATGATAACCAGGTGGGATGGGTGTCCCGGCCGGGGGCAGACTAAAAGATGAGGGTGTGCGATTCAGTGTCACATTTAAAAGATGGAGTTGATTTGCATCGAGAAGCTGTTTCCGGATGGAGACTGGGCCGTTCTGGAAGCGGGTGAGCAGTTCGTTGCGTGCTTCCAATGCGGAGGTTTGCTTGCGAGATGTTGTGACAAAGAATCGACGGGTCAGGTGCGACATGGTGAGTTCTTCCTATCCAGACAACTTGCCTTTCTGATTGACCTGTTTTACTCGCTCAGGTTGTAGTTGCGTGCAGGAGCGGGTGATGATGTACTGTCCTCAATGCCGATGCATAGCCGATATCGATAACGTTCTCCTTTACCACCCGCATGCACGAACATGGAAGCAAATACAGTATTAATAGAATTTCGTAACCATTTTACACAAACCAAGTTTCTATGATCTGATTAAAAATACTGAAAAAAAATCGCGATATCTTTTGTCCCTGAAGAGACCATGGACGAATCACATTACCACAGTCTTGCCAAGCCGCCAACTACCGCCTTGTAAGATCGGATAACCGACTTCGGCTTCTTTCAAAACCCACGCTGCGAGCCGGCAACATGTCTGAACGGCCGCGCAAACGCGCCAGGTTAGCATGTGTGACATGCAATGCACGGAGAGTGAAGTGCGATGTAACCGATCGACAGCCCTGCAGCAACTGTATGACTGCCGATTTGCAATGCGAAACGCGAGAATCGAAGCGCGGAAAGCATGTTAGGAAACCGCGCGGTGAGGCTGAGGCACGAAGCAAAACGTATGCCAAATATTCCACGAGGATGTTTTGGTGAGATGTAAAGGCTGACATAAACATAGTCCACCCAGCGCGCCGGTGTTCAGCCCGCAACGGCATGAGGATGAGGTTGCGGCATCACACGTCCTGGCTTCTCTCTCGTCCAACTTCAACAGTCCTGTCAACACTCAGGCGCCGGTCACTGGTAATCAGAATCAGTTCTCTGCGCCATCGACAACACCAGAAACACGTAACATCCAACCAATAAAGGAGAATTTCCAGCAAGAAGATGCCGTCTTTCTCGGCGAATCCAGCTCATTACGTTACGTGGCGGGAGCGCCGACCCCTGCCGCAGTAGAGCTTCGCGAGTCTTGCTTCCGCCATGCTCTTCCTAGAGCGGTTAGAGAAGAAGCAAATGTTCCTCAATGGGAGGCTGAAAGGCGTGTTGCGAGGAAGAAGGCTTTGCAAGCAGAAGGCGCGTTTTCATTTCCCCCCGCCGACATTCGAAAGGAATTACTAGAGGCCTACTTCAAATGGTTTCACCCGCACTTTGCCATCCTTGACGAAGACGATTACTGGATGACTTACAACAGATTAGAAATGTCTGCCCTGCTATTGCAGGCGATGTTGTTCATTGGCGTGATTCACTGTGACGAATCTACTCTGAAGAAATTAGGATGGGGCAATCGTCACCGAGCAAAATGGTTCTTTTACATTCGTGCAAAAGACATTTACGACGCGACTTACGAGACTGACAAACTTGCTGTAATCCAAGCCTTGCTTCTGATGAGCTTTTGGAGGGCAGGCGCTTTGTTGGAAAAAGATGCCCGTCATTGGCTTGGAACAGCCATCAGTCTATCGGAAACACGGGCGCTACATCGCTGTGGGGGGAATTCAGAGGAAAAGCTGACAAGGGTTAAGAGAAGACTGTGGTGGGCCATTTACATTCGTGAGAGACAATGCGCGGCCGCTCTGGGTCTGCCATGCCGGATACGCGATAAAGATTGCGACGTGGAGCCATTATCATATTCCGACTTTGCATATGCCTTTCGATCCTCGTCTCCAGCAGATGTCCGCCACCGCTCGACTGCTTATGCAATAAGTATGGTGCAGTTGGCAGTTTTTCTCGGCCGCGTAGTCGACGCTGGCTATCTACCCGGGCGTACACTGACGTCCGAAGACACGACCAGGCTTCGCGATGAATTATACCAGTGGAAGAATAACCTCCCCAGCATCATGCGACTTGACACCGATGCTAGCGGCGTACCCAACTTCCAAGCTAGCATGCTCCACCTTGCATACAACAATCTCCTCATTCTCCTCCACCGAACCAGTTTCATCATGGATGAGAGCCGCAGTGTACCAGCCGAAGGTAACGTCGCGCTCCAGGCCGCTGCACGCAACTCACGCATAGTCGAAGACATGCTACCAGATAGTAGCATCTGCCACGCTCAGATGCACGTCATCACAAACCTATTCAACACGCTTTGCATCCACGTCGTCCACTTCCGCCGCTCGACTGGCATCAACCGCACGCTAGCCGAGCACCGTGCAAAACTTTGCCTGCTGGGTCTCCGGGAGCTCCAAAAGACATGGGAAGTAACGAATTGGGTTCTGGAGCTATTCTTCCACTACATCGATCGAGATACCGCGTACAGGTTGACTATGGAATCGGATGAAGCAGGGAATCATCCTAGCGCTGCTGCTCAACCATCGGATACACGAACGGCATCTTCTAGTACTTTGAATCAACACCTGGAGCAGCAGCAAGGGAATGCTGGCAATGCAGCTCGAGGTAGTGCACAGCCATCGGGGATCGTCACGCCTTCTACTCCCAGTCCAAAGCCTTGGTCTTGGACGCTGGACGAGGCGGATCAGTACCTCTTTATGCAGATCGAGAATGATTTTGCATTTGGCGAGGGTGGGTTGCAGCACTTGGGCCCGGAAGACTTGGTCCTTACGGGTGCGCCGGCTGATTTTGTTTTCCATCGGGGGCAGGAGTAAGTGGGTAAGTAGTTTTGCTGGGAGTGTACAAGAGGGATCAAAGGTGGTTCACATGGTGATGAATAGAGGAATTATGGCGACCACGACGTTGTGAAAGGACTGTAGGGAATGTCTCGAATCCACATATGGTCCCCTTTTTCGTTCATAAAGTATTTATGGTTTTGTAGGCTTCCATCCAATAGCCCTTCCGTTGGTACTTCTCGACTTGAATTAGGTTGTGCATCTGCCGACAAGCTCGTATCCGCCCCCGTCTCACCATAAGCACTTTCGCCATCCCCAATCATACGATATACCTTTTTCTCCTTCCCGCGCACTAGACTTCGTTAATTATCATGTGGTTCTGATATGAGAGAGCAGGCTATGCAGTGTACTGCGCAGCGTCTGATTGGGAGACCTCGATTAATCACGCCTTCAAGCAATACTTGGACAAACAACAGACCATGCCTCTCCGATTTATACATGCCGTCTCCCAGCCAGAAACAAACTAAGCATACCTTCACGCTACCTCCACAGGCTCCACATTTTACGGTACGAGTCAGAACAACCCGCTCTATTATATTCAAGCGTCGCTCAACTAAGTGGTCACTGAGTATCTTACTAAGGCGGCCTCAACCCATTCATGGGGTGTATAACGCTTAACTACCTTCTTATACCGTCAATCTTTGAGCAAGTACGATAATTTTACTTTAATTATGAAAAAACTCGATTCCTGGTACACAGCGGTAAATGGTACTAGCGCAGCATCTCCAATGCTTTTATAAGAGCCGCCTCCATCTAGGCGGATTGTTGGTGCATGCATAGATGAATTGCTGTTCGGAGGATTGGACGAGGACTGATAACGGGTGTTCCCGTTTCTCTTACAGCCTGACCGAGCTCTCTTCGGGCCCGGTCCCGGCTCATGTACAGCATCACGCCATAAAAGTTACTATAATTTCATCGTCAGTGCTATAAAGAGAGTGATTCTATAGTTGCCTTATCTTAACAGCGCCTGACAACGCCTAATTTAATACCTACTGCGGAAAATTTTGCTTCCAAAAGATAACGGCTGAACTATTTGTTTTGTTGTCCATATGAGTAAGTACGTGTTATAAGGGGTAAATGCATGTAGTACTATATAATTCCTACACCATTTCGGCAATCATTGTCCATTCCATATCTTATCAACATCACTCACACATCCTGAATCATAGAAATGCCGCACTTCCTCGCCTCAACCCTCCTCTCTCTTTCCCTCTTCCTAGCAACCATTCATACAGCCAGCGGACAAATCCCCTTGGCCAGCATCGACATGAGCTCATCCACAGATCTATGCTGCACCTCGAGGGGTACCTGGTCCTCCTTCCAGAACAACCGCCAAGGCACAACCTTCTGGGCATTCTGAACATGCGCAAGTATTCCACTTCGCTGTTACCTAACACACATTACCCCCCTTTTATATCTCTCCTCATGGTATACGTAATGGTTTGGCTGACATATCAAGGGTAGTGTGAAGACGGCACAGATCCAAACCACCACCATGAGTGCGACAGGAACAAACCGTTTCCGGTTGGCAACTCGAGTCTGAGTCATTATGCTGGGGATTTGTATGTGACGAGAGCGAGGTTGCGGTGGATTATTCCGCCTGAGTATGAAAAGAGTGCGTTTTTTTGCCCACACACACACACATGCATGCATCACATCCTTCCATCACTATTGTTTTTCTTTTTGGAAGAGCTAGTTGGCTAATAAAGATGATGGATTATTAGAGTTCTGCTATGGCAACGGCGAACAAGGCCCCGTTCCAGGTAGATCTGGGAGAAAGATTTCGTATCCTAGGGATTGGTGCGAGGCTGGGCTGGGGAATTTCATCTGCGTACGTACCTTATTACAACCTCAAAAACCCTCACACTCCATCTTCCATTTGTATTGACTTCGGGGTTTTACTGGACACAGTGTACGCCTGTCACAGCAAGTGGCGAATGCCGACTCAACGGCGCGCAAGCGCATTACTTACAAGTAAATAGCATGGATATATCTCAGGATACAAATACGTGTGTGCAGCCGGGTGTGGGTGGGCGGGTGGAAAAAGACTCGTATCACTTCAAACCTACTAATATACTTGTACCCACACACCTACCAACCACATCTTAATAATAACCTACAATCCTACTAGCAAAAGCGAAAAAGGACAAAGACATCTCAACCCTCTACTAATACCCAGTACGTCACTCACCCTTCCTAACCCCCCTCTCCCTGCCCCCTTCTTCATACACATCTTTCCTTTCTTTTCCCCCACTAGCTCACCCGCCACCACACTGCACAAACCCCCTTCCCTGCATACCCACCCTCTTGCACACACTGCACCCTACATACGCCCTGCATGCGCACCCAACCCGACCCAACCCAACCCAACCCAACCCAACCGTCCTATGGCCTCGCTGCAATCAAAGTCCCCCCTGCATGACGCTTTACCGGAAGAAAGCCAAAACTTTTAGTTGGGGAAGAAGCAAAGGAAAAGAAGGAGCTGAAGCAGCGAACTGGGTGATCTGGTCTGATCTGATCTGATCTGATCTACATGTGATGCTCATTTGCGCGGTGAGATGATGATGATGATGATGATTATGAGTGGTAGGGAGGTTAAGCAGGCAGGGCGGGCAATCCACATGCACCGTCTTACCGTCATTTGTGATGAGATGACGGTGGTGATAATGGTAGTGGTGGTGAGCGTCATCATCGAGATTGCAATCCAACTATTGTTAATCGGTATGACCCATTTGCCTAAAAAGTACTAAGTATGTAAAATATCAAAAGACAACTATGTATGTCGGAGAGGAAAGAAAGTATAAGATCAAGTACACACACTTTTGAGGCAACCAACAAATATGCAATAAAAATAAATATTTTCATTTCACCCCCTTAAAGGTAATTCGGAACGAAAGGGTAGAAAGAAGAAAAAAGCAAAAAAGACAGAAGAAAGCCATGTACAAAAAGGCAAGAATTGTTCGCCACCCTAGCTCCTATTGCATGATCTATCCACCCACCCCCCTTCCCCCGCGCCATGCTTGATGCCATAAAAAAAAAGAAAACAATAGTCGAACCAAACATGTGCCTCCAAAAAGAAATACATTGATGAAAGCTTGTAATTCAAAAAGGAATAACATAGCGATGCGAGATCGAGGGCTTCATCCAGGCGAATGCAACTTTATAAACACCAAAGCACCATAGCTATGCGACTCTTTCCAGGGTAACGCCGTGACTGCCGATTTGCACCAGAGAATAATAAAAATTTACAACTTCGTGGCCTGGTGCGCCACTACTGGGGCGAGCTTGACTCGAAAAACGGTCCTAGGACAACATTCCAGTGCCTTTGGCTGCCATCTGCCGTCTGCTGTCAGACGTTGAAACGTGCCATCCTATGCTTTGTCCCGTCTCTGCTTGCTGTCCGACGCTTGAGATGCGATGCTTTTCTCATCACCTTTTTCTCCGACAAAATCTCTTTGTAGGTTTTTGTAATTAGGCGTTTTCTTCCTCCACTCAACACAACGCAGGCGCATGCTCCAGACCAGAAAAATGCCTGGTAGCAATGCTTGAAGCCCGTTCAATGTCATCACCTTCCATTGTCGTTATCGTGCTTCTTTGATCGATCACGGCCCTCATAGTCGCTCTCATCATCATAGCGACGACGTCGCTCACGTTCGTGATGATAGCGGTCATCATCGCGATCCTCTTCATCTCGGTCATCCTTGGAGCGGCGGCTGCGTCTATCACGGTCCTCTCTCTCGCGTCGTTCATGATCATACTCGTCATCTTCTATGCATCTGTTAGCAGTGCTTGTTTAACCAACTCATCGACAAACTCACCTCTGCTCTCGCGGATCTTCTTTGTACGATCAGCGAGCTTCTGAATCTCTTCCTTGGTCAAGACTCGAAGTACAATCACACAGTCCATGCGCTCTTCGAAACGCTCCTTGGCCTGTTCCAAGGCCTCTGGGTTGACTAGGCGTCGGTCGATCCTTGTCCATCGAGCACCAACAGGAATGTCCTTGCCCTTGAGAGCATCCTTGTGGGGTGCTACACCCTCGCGGATAGGCTCAGGGTCCTCTGGAAACTTGGCAGTAGGCTTGCGGAGAATGCCCTTGACAGGTGCCACGGGTTCCTTGGGTGGTTCAACAATCTGCACGCTCTTGCTAGCAGGCTCTGACTCCTTATCGAGTGTCTCCGGTTCCTGCACCATGCCTCCATTGTGGGTGGCCGAAGAGCGTTCATCCCGAGAGCTGGGTGCATCTCTAGGAGGTGATGCACGTGACGGTTCCTCTCGGCCTCGAGACCTGGACCTCTCACGCTCTTCCTTTCGCCTTCGTCGATCCTTTTCGCGGTCAGAGTCGCTCTCTCGGTCACGGTTGCTGCGACCAGCACGCTCGGCTTCTTGCTGGATGCGTCTTCGGTACTCCTCGTCGGGGTCTACAGCAGCTGGTTGTGGTGCAGGCTCCTTTCGCCTCTCAGCATCTCGGTCAACGTAATGACGTGGTCGTTCATCTCCACTGCCTTCAGGCGATGAGGCCTTTCTGGAAGAAACAGGGGCCTTGTCCTTGTCATCATCCTGTCGACGGTCACGGTACTTGCGATCTGGGTCAGGGTAGGCTGGATAGTCGGGGGCAGCAATCTGTGCGGGAGGAGCAGGAGGAGGGGCTGCAGCGGCAGCGGCGGCAACGGGGGCAGCCACGGCTGGAGCTGGAGCTAGAGAGTTGCGGCGGCCTTCAGACTTCCTCTCGCGTCGCTCATCAGGACGGTCCCGCCTGTCACGTTCATCGTATTCCTTTCGGCGCTCTCGCTCTCTTTCTCCAGAAGAGTCGCGGTCACTACCTCGTTCCTTTTCACGGGCCTTCATGTAGCTAGCAGCGCCTAAAGTGGCAGCAACGCCGGCAACAGCTCCAGCAGCAGTGGGAACAAAACCATTGCTTTCGTATTTATCATGTTTACCATGATCCCGTTCACGGGGACGTCGGTCATAGTCTGGAGGGGGCACATCGCGGTCACGGGAACTACGAACCTCAGGCATGCGAGCCTCGGCACGCTCGGGCTGGTAGTACGAAGTGGCAGGCTCCTGCACCCTGGGTCGGGGAGGCTCTTGAGGAGGGTAGAGAGGTTGTCGATCAAGGGCATGATGATCATGTGCAAGGGGGGGAGGCCCGGTGGGGGCGATGCCAAATCCTCGGGATGTGACGTCACGGTCCTCGAAAGTGGTGTTATGGCGTTTGTTCTCGACATCCCTGCGGTCGTAGTCGTCACGGTACGTGTCGCGACGGTGTTCGCGGGATTCTTGATGAACGGCAGCTGGGGCTCGGGAGCGTGTGGAAGATGATCGGCCAAGGTGTGCATCTGGATAGGGGTCATACTTGGGGACTGGGGTTCTGTCAATTGAAGATGACCTGCCATGAACCCGTGGAGCGCTGTGAATTTTGTCAAAGCCTCGAGTGGATGGTGGAGGACCGAGTTCACGGGCAGAGGTGCGTGGAGGGCGGTCGGCAATCATGCTCGTAGGACGAGAACTGCGCTCAATGCTGCCAGCACGTGGACGTCTCCAGGCTGGCTCTGTGTCGCGGTACATGCTTGCGGGGTCCGTGTAGGAGTAGCCATCGTTGCTCATGTCGGACAGGCGCGGTGAAGGCTTGGAGTCGTGGTAAGTACGGCCACCACTGGTGACATTGTGGCCCCTATCCGCATGGTCCCTGTGGCGCGAGGCATCGACCTCTGCTACAAGCTTGGTCAAGTGGCTGGTATCATCGACACTGTAGACCTTCTTGTGGGATCGCGAGGGAGCAGAGGTGATGTATGTGTCGGCGCGTTTGTCATAGGAAGAGGTTAGGGGGCTTCTGGGGCGGTCGGCATGGGTGGTGGTGTGGGTGGTGGTGTGGGGCGAGTAGGGAGTGCGGAGGGGAAGGGACGTCTGAGGGAGGGCACTGGTGCTCACGTTGGGGCGGGTCAGGTCGTTGGTGTTGCGGCGGGGGCGTGTCGTGGTGTACGAGTCGTACTTGAGGTTGTTGGTGCGGGCAGCGGCGAGAGAGGCAGTGGGCTGGTTCCAGTAGGGTGAATGAATCGACGAGGCAGCAGCCAGACGATCAACGCTGGCGCGTGGGGAGCTGGGGCGGGCATAGTACGACGAGTCGTAGTATGGGTCAGAGAAGCCGCCGGTGGAAGCTCTGGCAGGATTGCCATATGCCCTGCGGGGGGACGAGGGGCGCGTGTAGCGCGAGTCCATGGCGCCCGACAGCTTGACCGTCTTGATGTGCAGCGGGGTGGTTTTGGCGGCGGTTTTGGCAGCAGGCTGGGTGGACAGGGAGTTTCTGCGGGGAGGAAGGGGCGGCGCTGCAGTGGGGGAATAAGTAGTGCCCCTTGGGCCCGGCGGACTGGTGGGGAGGAGAAGGCTGCCCAACATGATGTTAGTGGGAGTAGGTGAAACGGTCAGACTCGGAGAGGCAATGGCCGCAAAGAAGAAGAAGAAGAAGAAGAAGAAGAAGAAGAAACAAAGAAGCGCATGGCACACGAAGAAGGCAAAGACGAAACGAGGCCTGGCGGAGAGAGAGGTCGCAGGTGGACGTACATAAAAGCGTGTCAATGCCGGACGGGTGCCGGAGGGCGGACGCAGGTGTATGTTGGCTCGACGACTAGGAGGCGCGAACCGGTTGCCGGTTTGGACAG